AAATGATCTCGGATGGGAATTCCGATGGTTCGGTTATCTTCGTTAGGTGATTTTGGACTTGAGAGCGCGTCCGGAATGTGATTTCGAGGTCCGTGGTAGATTTAGGCTTGAATTAGCGAAATTGGAAATTTGGCGTTTCTCGATCAGGAATGGAAATTTTGATATCGGGGTCAGAATGAAATTCTGGAAATTGGAGTAGGTCCGTAGTATCATTTGTGACGTGTGTGCAAAATTTCAGGTCATTCGGACGGGGTTTGATAGGTTTCGGCATCGTTTGCGAAATTCTGAAGTTTGGAAGTTCTCTTAGGCTTGAATTCGAGGGTGATTTGGTGTTTTGATGTTGTTTTGAGTATCCCGAAGTTTTGAATAAGTTTGAATGGTGATATGTGACCTGTTGGTATTTTTCGTTGAGGTCCCGAGGGCCTCGGGATGAATTCGGATGGTTAACGGAAGAGTTGGAATTGAGATTTTGCAGCTGAAGCTGCTGCTTCTGATGTTCCCGCACCTGCGGATTGGGGACCGCAGGTGCGAGGAAGCAGATGCGGTATGGCAGCCGTAGATGCAGAATTTGGTAGCTAAGGGAAGAACCGCAGATGCGGTGGTTTTGACGCATATGTGGGACCATAGGTGCGGTGCTTGGGGCGCAGATGCGGTCCTGGGCGTTTAAGTGAAAACCGCAGGTGCGGTTGGTGGGACCGCAGAAGCGGTTGCGCAGGTGCGAGAAAAAGGTCGCAGGTGCGGAAACGCCTGGGCAGAAGGTATAAATTAAATCCTTTGCAAATTTTTGCCTATTTCCTCCATTTTTGAAGACGGGAGTGGAGCTTTTAGGGAGTTTTGATGAGGGAATCAAGGGATTCTTCATTGTGGTAAGTTTCTTGATCCTAACACTCGTGATTATCATGATTTTCAGTTGTTTAAGCATGAAATTAGTAGAAATTAGGGATGGAATTGAAGGGATTAGGGCTTGGAATTTGAGAGTTTAATTTGAGGATTTGAGGGACCATTTGATGTCGGATTTTGATGATTTTGGTATGTTAGACTCGGGAGTGAAAGGAGTATCTAGCTTTGAGATTTTTGTCAGATTTCGAGACGTGGACCCGGGGGCCGGGTTTGGGTGAATTTCGGGATTTTGGTATAATTTGATAATTTTTCATATGGAATTGGTTCATTGGCCTATATTGATTGCATTGTATTGCTTTTGGTCAGACTCGGGACGTTTGGAGGCCGATTCCAGAGGCTAGGGCATCGCGGAGTACGGAGTTTTACCGGTTTGAGGTAAGTAATGATTGTAAATCTTGTCCTGAGGGTATGAAACCCCGGATTTCACATCGTTTTACTAATTTGAGGTGACGCACATGCTAGGTGACGAGCGTGTGTGCGTGCACCGTTGGGGATTGTGACTTGGTCCGTCCCAGAGCAACTATTAAGTTGCGTATTTGACTGAAAACTATATGATACTTATGTGATTTAGAAAGGCTTTCTATAATTTGGGCTGAATGCCACATTTGGGCCTTGTGCCAGAGCAGTTTTGACCTTTAAGGGCCTTTTCTTATTAGTTCCTCACTGCTTTGATTTAAGATCTGTACTCAGACATGTTATATTTACTGATTTCATAACTCAGTCTTTATTACTCCATTTTGATGCATAAAATGATATTTTGGGCTGAGCACCTTGTTTAACTGATAGCCCGAGTGGCTTGAGAGGTTTCTGACTGAGTGAGGCCGAGGGCCTGTGTTGTGAGGATATTATGGGATCGGGCTGAGCGCCGCAGCATGTTGTTACTGATTTGTGATTATGACAGGCCGAGGGCCTGATTGATTATGCCACGAGGTGGCTTGTTATAGTGCTTGGGCTGTAGCAGCCCCTCCGTAGTCTGCACACCCCTAGTGAGCGCGGGTACCCTAAGTGAGTGATATGATGTTTTGCCCGAAGGGCTGTTCTTGATTCATGTTGTGCCCGAAGGGCTGTTTACGAGTGGCTGTGAGGTTTGCCCGAGGGGCTGATTCTGAGTGATGTTATGCCCGAGGGACGGTTTGTGATTCATGTTGCCCGAGAGGTTGTATACGAACTATGTTTTGTCCGAGAGGTTGTTTATGATTTTCATCACTTTTAGTCTAAGCTGCATTGGGCTTTTATTGAAACTGTTGAAAAACATCTTCAAATAATTTTTACCGAAACTGGATTTTAAACGAGATGATTTGACTCATATACTGATTTGAAAGCATGTTGTACTTACTGAGATTTCATGATGTGGATTTTATGTGTTTCCTACTGCTCAGTCTTTATTTACCTTTATTACTTACTGAGTTGGCGTACTCACATTACTCCATGCACCTTGCGTGCAGATCCAGGGGTTGCTGGACGTGTTAGCAAGCGTTGATTCTTCATCCGTCGCGGATATCTTGGAGTTGGCAAGGTAGCTGCATGGGGATCGCAGCCTTGTTTTTCTCCCTCCTATCTCCCTATTGATATTAGTAGTTGATTTCCAGACTGTTTTAGTCTTGTTATATTTCGGAACAGTTGTAGTATTTGCTCATGACTTAGTGACACCTGAGGTCGGGCTTTTATTTCCGCATTTTGGTTTTGAAATTATCTCTTTTTATGGAAATTTCACTATGAAAAAGGTTATTATTTAAATTTTAATGAAATGTTAAATTATTTGGAAGTGTGTCGGCTGGCCTAGTTCCATGATAGGCGCCGTCACGACCGGGTCGGTTTTGGGGTCGTAACACTTATATAGGTGTACTTTGAGTGATAATTTTGCTAAGTTGGAGTACAACTCTCTCTCTCTTTTCTCATCCAAGTGAAATACAATTATTTTCTTTTTCCAAAATATAATCCACATACAATATGGAGTGTTGATTTCAAGTGTGGATGTTTGAAATGTGTTGTCTCTAACTTATCAAAAAGAAGTATGATTGGGTTGTCTATTCCCTCCTATTTCTTTGGATATAATGCAGCAATGGAGTTGTACTAAATCTTAATCTTTTCACTTCGTCGTTGTCAATGTTTACTTGCTTGGTTAACTTTGTCATCACGGCTTCACTAATGTCTAATGCAGTCTGTCTTAGTGATAGCAAACAAAAGTATAGAATTGATTTGAAGTATGTTGAAAAAGAGGTTAATCCAAAGTACTCATATTAATACCGGCCAAAAATGGGTCATGAAAAAATTGTGTTAATATCCATATTATATACAAGAACCAAAAAGGGAAAAAGAAAAAAAAGTATTAGAATAGATGTAGACATATAACTAATTCTAACCAATTATGACCCGTCATTTAAATAGTCAGAAGTGGAATCAGGATTCAAGCCAAAAATTAAATGCTAGTATATATCATCAATGTTCAGATTGATAGAGGAATAGATCAAATTAGTGGAATGGCAAGTTACAGACACTTTGTTTAATAAGTTACATATAAATTAATTCTTAATTTTACACGTATTTCAAATGATAGATTTAATATAAGGGCAAGTTACGTTATCCTCTGCGAAGGAGTGAAGGACAGATTTATCATTTAGAGTTGCGACGAAAAAAACAAATTATATTCATCTATACCTAAAGAAAATTGACATTGGAGTTCCGTCGAATGATTTATGAACAATTAATTTGTACTCCAGAATGACTAGCCAACTACCACAAAATAGAGTACATGATGATTATGGTTACGTAACTCAATAAAGAGTTTGAAAAAAAGATAGTTTCGTTGAAGTATCAAATAATTCTGGCTGCTATCCTGGGAACTGAATTAGGACAAATTGACCTAAAACTACTATAAGTTATTTGACCTTTTAATTTGGCAGAAATATTTGGGACCCCCTAGACTTAGGCAACTTTTATTTCGTTCTCCCTTAAACAATTAAACTTCACGTGGTCTTTAATACCTCTTGAATTTGAAAATTTGATAGTCTTGACCCTTTTAGACGCTGATGATGTGGCAAAGAGCGTGAATACACTTTCTTTTAGACACGTGGGAGAGAAGAAAAATCGAAATTAGCTTCCAAATGGGGTATTTTCAAATATTAATTGCTACATAATCAAATATAACGATTTATTTGTTCCAATTGTATTTCTCGTTATTTCTTCTTAATATAGATTGCATCTTTTTTCTTAATTACAATGAATATATGTTACTATGTACTTCTTATCTTTTTTTTCGGTCCAAATCTACAAAAGTTAGTTAAAACTTCATTTATTTTAGCCAAATAAAAAGGAAGATTTAGCAAAAGTAATGAAGTTCATATGGTATATTTTCTACAAAAAGAAAACAGTACTATATATTTTTAATTTTATTTTCATGCAATGAATATTTATTTAAATTATGCATTTTTCTTTTTTGAGTCAAATTCGTAAATATTTGGTCGGAATATTATTATTCTTAGCTAAAATATTTATTTAGTCAATATATGGAGGTCCAACAACTTATTTTATTTTTATTCTTTTAGGTGCAATGATAATATGTTCTAACTGTGTATTTCTTCTTTTCCTAACCAAATACATAAAAGTAACTTGATTAAATATCATTATTTTTAGCAAAATAAAAAATTATAGTCAAAATAACGTTTTTTCAAGTTTTTTTTATCCATATTTTGGCACGAAAAAAATGATTTAAATAATTGATGGACTTAAAAAGATAAATATATATATATATATATATATATATATATATATATATATATATATATATATATATTACTGTAAAAAAATATCATATATGAAAAAAAAAAATTCATGTGGCATCGGGTGTGTCACATTCCTAAGGATTGTCTAGGGGGTCAAGGCTATGAAATTGCCAAGTTTAAGGGAGTATTAAAGACCACATAAAGTTTAAAGAGTAACTAAACAAAAGTTACCAAGTTCAAAGGGTCCCGATTTATTCCGCCTTTAAATTTTGTTAAACAACTTGGTATACCATATATGAGATCTACATGATGACTCAAGTTGCTCGGTTTTAATATTGCACGTTTCTTATAGCAAAAATATTTTAGTGTATTGCAATATTGACATCTCAAATTTCAATATTGATCTAACAAATAAATACTTGCCAAAACAAGAAGAAAGCAAATGAAAGAGCAATTCAAGGGGGAAATATAGCTCAAAGATCTGGTTAGAGCTATATATTGATATTATATATTGTGATCTACCACAAACTTATACATCACACTATTATAAAGACTTAAACGTATTATGTGTAGGTGGCATCACCAATCACTTGATATGCTTTTAGTGAAGCATAACCCTGACCAACAACTGCTTAAAAATCCTTTCCTTTTCCTGCATTATATAAAAAAACAAACATGTCTTATTTAAGTGGCCGTGGGTGGACGGGTGTTTCTTTAATGCACAATAATAATAAATGCTAAAACAATCAGAATCTGACTACGTATCTCAACAACTACTTCTCTTTTTAAAAAAACTGCAATCTGCATACTCAGCAGAGCTTCTAACAATGAAATATGATAGTTTTTGAAATATATTATAATCGACTAATGCTTTCCATAAGAGACAACTGACAAAGTCACAAAACTGGTTTTCTTGGACCTAAAGGTTTCCATTCTTTGTTCTGTTTCTGTTCTGTACTGTATACTGTATGGAAGCAGGATTTCCAAGAATTATCCAAGTAATGACCAGAGATGAGAATGAATTGCATAATCTACTTTAAACTCGGATAAACCTATGTCAGGAACACTCCCAAGATTACAGGACCAGGGGCGGAGGTAGCATATAAGTTACGAGTTCAACCAAACCAGTAGCTTTTTGCTCGGATTCTGTATATATATTAAAAAATTTACTCCTAAAGATGTGCAAATATTAAGTTTCGAACCCAGTAACTCTAATAGTCAGCAGATTTAGTGGCAGTTTGAACTCATAAACTTCGAATCCTCGCTCCACCTTTGTACATCCCAAGTCATTTTAGCAAATTCATCACTAGTATTAAAATTTTCAAGCACCGGCAGATTCAGAATTTAGATATTATGGATTATAAGTTGAAAGAATTAGTTTTGAAGTATATATTTAATTCTATCTATATGCAAAAATGGACCTTAAAGTATTGAGTTCTACTGAACCAGCGAACCCATAGTTGGATCCCCTTAGTGATCGATTTGTTTGAGTTGAAAAATTAAGAAATGAAGATATATACCTGTTGCTGCTGTTAGTGCTGCTGCTTGAATTGCTGCCACTGCTTCTATTTCTGCTGCTGTTTGTCCTTCTACTACCACTCTCACTTGAACTAGAAAATCTCTTCTTCCACCAGTCTTTTTCCAAACTTTTTGAAGAGTTTTCACACTCTTCAGGTTTAGGAGAAACTTTATTAGTTGTATTTGCTGTATTCTTCTTTTTCCTCTTTGGTCTCAATGGAACAGGGGAAACCATCTTGAGAAATAGTCCTCCATTGTCAAGACTTCTACTTCTCATCATCTTGGCTTTCTTAATTTGATCATTCTTCTTCTTCTTATTATTCATGTTGCCACTCTCTTGCCTCTTTATCTTCACCCTATCTTGGTTTTTCTCCTTATTCATTAAGCAGTTTTCTTGAGATTGAAAGGTTGTAGTAGGCTGCTCAACAAGATCCTTTAAAGAAAGCTCATAACAAGATTCAGGCATGTTCTTAACCATTTCCATTAGTTCCCATTGGCCTCTAGCTATGGCTTGAGCTCTAGAACTCGGCGAAAGTGACCGATAATTTATACTATGAGGAACTGGACTTATTGGAGGGCTATTTTGCCATAAGGGTGGTGAAGAAGCACCAGATTCAACACCACCATCTTCATGTTCTTCCTTTTCTTGAACTCTAAATTGAATCCCTTCTCCACCATCATGTTTAGTCCAATTCCCATGCTTTTTTGATACTTGGAAACCAAAATTTAGAGGCTCCCAACTGTCATTGGCTGTTTGTTTTCTTGGATCAAACATGACTATTAGAGGGAGGAAATGAGGTGAAGAGAAAGAGGGAAAAGATAGAAGTGGAAAAATCATCAAAGTGTATGTATGAAGGAGAGGAAGGTGTGTGTCATTGATGTGTGTTTGGTCCATCTCACTTTCATTTTAATAACAACAAATTTTTTATTGGTGGGTGTCTCATCTTTTGTTTGTAATGTTAGGTCCTTACTTTAACAACGAAAAAATGGATTAAAAAATTGAGGAGAGAGAAAGAGGTTGAAAATTAGTACCCTAAAAGTAAAGTTGTCCAAATAAAGTAAAGTATGAGTTCGAAAGCGTAATCATCAACAATAATACGAACCACATATTGCTCGAAATATATGATATTCTTTTGTAGCAAACATATCATGCTAGAAAAATTAAGCTTTGTTGGTGTTGTACATTCTGCTGGGGTAAATGTACTGCTGCATTTGATTGAGAGGGAATGAGAGTATAATGGCTTTCAAGATGGTTGGGTGTAGGGCCTCCTTTGTTCCTGAATTTCCTCGTTTTTGTCTTGCATTGTGGAATTAATTATGGCTTTAGTCTCCTTTTTTTCTATGGCATTTAAAGAATCTCTTGTCTCTTGTCTTAGTGGTCTCACAACGTATCTTTCTAATGGAGAAATCATTGCTTAATATGTCAAAATATAATTAAGCTTAAAGTAATACGCCTCTTCTTTGCTTAATGGAGTAAGCTAGCTCTAAAAATCTTTGTTAGATTCATTCTAACTTTCATGGATTTCCAAAAACGTACTACTGAATATGCCACACTGTTTATTAAGTTTATTTTAAAAAGAATAATACAATTTTATAATTGGAAATTCTTTAATTTTGAACTTATTATTTCACCCTAATGACTTGCCCTTAGAGGCATAAAATGTAAAGATCACAAATTTTATAAATATGTTTAGTATGCGCCAAAAGTCCTTCGTTCTTCTTAAATTTTATATCCAATCAAATATTATTAATAACAACGATAATATACCCACTATGATCCCACAAATAGATTCTGGGAGGGTAGAGTGTATGCAAATTTTAGATTTATCTTGTGTAAGGTAGAGAGCCTGCTTTTGATTGACTCTCGAATCAAGAAAAGCGTTTTAAAACATGTTTAATAAATACAAGAGTAAAGAGTCTATGATGAAAATACTAAAGAGAAGAAAAATTGGTAGCAAAAATAGTAAGATAATCAAAGTAAAGGAAATAACAATGTGGTAAAAATGAAGAATAAGATAATAATAATAATAATAATAATAATAATAATAATAATAATAATAATAATAAAAAAAAAAATAAGGAGAAGAGGGAACATATAAGGTACTCTAAACTAGAACCACGTCCTCCCACATAAAAGAGAGAAATCACTCGACAACCTACTAACCTTTTACTCTAATCCTCGACATGCATACTCTCCCATCAAATATTATCATACAAAATAAAACAAAGAGAATACAGTATTTTATCAAAGTCCATCCCACACAAATAAACAAATCGATGTAATTGAAGAATACAAATTCCTTTTTTGTACGCAAACTTTTATTTAAGCTATAGATCAACAATACATCAAGATGTTAAAAGTATAGCCGATCATATTTACTATTTTATTATTCTAGCCACATATATAGATTATACACAATTATACATATATAATATATAAATTATATATGTATTATATATCTGTTTACCCTGGAATCCGGATAACAATTGAATTTATATGGGGTTTTAAGGATCCGTGAACTAAAAGATACAAAAGGTTTGGATTGAGGAAAATAAAAGATAAAGACTCAACAATTGCTGCTAAAGTATATAATCGCAGAATATAATATTGCTTAGAACAATTGTGCTTGATAGCGTACAAGAATTGAGAGAGATGGTACCGTAGTGTAATGGTTTCCGATCCCCTCTTTATGGGGTCTTCTCCCCTTTTATACATTCTGATTAAGGGTAAAAATAAGGTAGGTAAATTAATTACATCGTGGATCCCTGTAATTACGCCTTAATGGCCTGAAGTGGTTGAGAAAATCACGTTTGGGCGAGATATCCGGTGACGCTTGGTTATCCGTTACGAGTCCGGCTTCCGACCTTGTGTGTTTCTCCATCCGGTGGTGGCTCATATCGAGCTCTGCAACGGTCTCGAAATGACTCGACCTCGGTTGTTGACGTGGCCGTCGTTCTACCTTGCATCCAGGTCGGGTTCGATGGCCCCGACTTGCCCCGGACCGGACCCAACCCGGTCGGGCTCAAGCAAAAAGGGTATCACCCAATACAATATCTTCACTAGCTATTTTGCGTGTAAGAAATTGAGTGAGCAGTTATTTGAGTTAATTCTTGAATTAAAGACGCATCAAAGGAGAATGAATTTGGATCCCTTGATAGAAAAGAGGAAATGAAACTGGGCTTTACTAATTATGATAATGAATTGGGCCAACCAACGTAAAACTCTATATCGCACACTTAATTGAAGTCAGGCTGAAAGTTCCACCTATCTGCCTATCGGACCTTGTCATCACCAATGTGAATCAATATCTCCAAGCCCAATTACGAAACCCTAGTGCTTATAAACCCCTCTTTTTTCATCTCACGCCCACTTTTACACTCTCCAGCATTTAGCAAAACCCTGAGCTAAACAGCAAGAAGCATGGCTGAAAGAGGAGGATTCGGCCGTGGATTCGGTGGTCGTGGTGGAAGAGGCGGAGACCGTGGTGGTCGTGGCCGTGGAGGCCGCCGTCCACGCCGTGAAACCGAAGAGGAAAAATGGGTCCCAGTCACCAAACTTGGAAGACTCGTGAAAGACGGCAAAATCCGTTCATTGGAACAAATCTACCTGCATTCACTACCAATCAAGGAGTACCAAATCATAGACACACTCATCGGTCCATCTCTAAAGGACGAAGTGATGAAAATCATGCCCGTTCAGAAACAAACACGGGCCGGACAGAGAACCCGATTCAAGGCTTTCGTTGTTGTCGGTGACGGAAATGGACACGTGGGATTAGGCGTCAAATGTTCGAAAGAAGTAGCGACTGCTATACGTGGCGCGATTATATTGGCTAAGCTTTCTGTGATTCCAGTGAGGAGGGGTTATTGGGGTAACAAGATTGGAAAGCCGCACACCGTGCCGTGTAAGGTTACAGGGAAATGTGGGTCTGTGACTGTGCGTATGGTGCCTGCTCCGCGTGGTGCTGGTATTGTGGCGGCTAGGGTTCCTAAAAAGGTGTTGCAATTTGCTGGTATTGAGGATGTTTTTACCTCTTCTCGTGGATCCACCAAAACCCTCGGCAACTTTGTCAAGGTTCGTTTTTTATTTTAGTCTTTCTTTAATTGTGATCTGGCTTTTTGTTGTGTGTTCAATTCAACTAATTGCTTTTGGCTCGGATTAGCTTGCGAAAAAAATTAGAAAAGCTATATAATTGTTCCTGTCGACTCTGAATCTGGATCCTTGATTCACCTATGCTATTCCTGTTTAATTCTAGCGTGAGGTTAGCATAGGTAGAAATGTATGTTATAAAATCAATTGAAATGCGATTAATTATAAACCAACGGAAATGCAATTAGTATGTTATAAACCAATTGAATTGGCATTTCTGAAGCTAATGCTGAGCTCATTAATTATGTTGTTATATACAAGAAAGTGGTTCAATTTTTGCTCTATTCATAAATTAGCCCAAGTTGAACTCATTACTCATTAGGATTTCCGAAGCTGATGTTGTGTATGATAGTGGTTAGTTTTTTGTTATGAGAGTTGGAGTACATGGCATTGTTTAAGAAAGATATTTGAGAAAAATCAAAACATACCTAACATGTCACTTTATGTCTTGGTTGAATTTGAGAATTGTCTTTGGGCGTAACAATAAAAGAATGCTTTAACTTTAGAACTAGTGGGTTTGCCATCTGTAGTTTTTGCACTTGAGATTGTCTTTACATAATGAAACTTATGCGAGGTTGTGAACTACTCTGCTCTAGAGAAGAACTTCAGTTGCTGTACTACTCCTCCTGTCCTATTTTATGGGACACTTTCCTTTTCCTTTCTAGTCATTCTTCGCCTTTCTATTAACTTATAGTTTTCCATTTTATCATTAATTATGTGATTTTATAGCCACATAAATGTTATGCCATGTTTCAAATTACAAGTTCTTCCTAAGTGTTTGCATACTCAGTCAAGCGCATTCCTGTGTCAATTGGTTTTGCATTTGTTTGAACTTTTGGTGATCAATGTTTTTCTTCTATGCAGGCAACCTTCGATTGTTTAATGAAGACATACGGTTTCCTTACTCCAGACTTCTGGAAGGAGACTCGCTTCACTAAATCTCCTTTCCAAGAATACGCTGATATCTTGTCAAAACCTGCTAGTAAGGTTATTGTCTACACCACTGAGGAGGCAGCACCTGAGACGGTTCAGGCTTGAGTATGAGTTTGTTTTGTTCTAAAGTTGTTCTTTTTAGGTCATTTGATTAAACAATGCTGTTATTTCCAATTTTGGTTTACATTTGAAAGGGTGTTTTTGGTACATTTGTCCTCGTATAATTTTTATCTTTGCCTCAATATATTCTGCCTGGTTGATCTTGTTCGTGATCCACCCAATGAACTTAGACACGTCTAATATGCTACTACATGAGTAGTTTGCGTTTGGAAAGAAGTTTATTTAAATTGATTCGTTGAAGTTTGAAATTTATAGTCACAAAGCAAGGTGCTCTTTTATTGCTGGTGTTGCCAAGAAGATCAAAAGCAAAATAGGGTAGCTCAATCAAGCTTGTGAGAACACTTTTTTTTTTTTTTTTTTTCATATTGCCTAGCTAGTAGTAGTATGTGGAACTTTTATGGTGTAAAAACTCGATTTAACAGTTAAACTAAACGGACATATTTTTACCCTCCTATTTTCATTTCAAGTAAATTTAATACCTCCTTCAAAGATCTTATGACAAAGAAAGTGTTTTCATTCTCCCAATCAAAGGATAAAAAGTTGGCCCGGTCCTCTTTTTAGAAAAAAAAACCTTTTCTTTAATTAATGTTTTCCTTTTCTTTTCTTTTTTCTCTCCATCTTTTTCCCTAAACTTGTACCACCCTTCTTCCATCCAACAGCCACCCACCTTGTGCTATACCACCATATCAGCTACCTCTCTATATCCGCTTCCTCCATCCCCACCCCACCACTCTATTGCAGCAAAACAAAGGACAAAAAAATACTCTAATTTTCTTGAGGACAGAGAGCTCGCCGACGAAATTTTCCGGTGTAAAAGATTTGGTGTAAAAGATTTGGTGTATAAGATTTGGTGCTTCCTTCGGTGTAAAAGATTTGGTGCTTCGCCGACAAGAGTCTATAATATTATGTTGAGTCATTCTCTGGAAAATAGTTTACTAGAGAAAACCTAGCCACTTCTCAACAGGTTTTTGCCTATTAGAAAATCTCAATCTCAACTGCTACTACCAAAATCCTCTTCATGAAAAAACAACAATTACACCACAGCCACAACCCCCCCAATTCCTGCCTCTAGCCATCTTCAGAGAGAAGCAAATGACAGTGTAAAAACTATGTCAAAGGAGGGAAATTGACTTCTCACGAAACTACTTGTTTCAAACTAATTAAGAGGTGATCAAACCAATACAACAAGAAGCAAGCGCCGAAGGATGGGATGCAGATTGAGAAGCCCATGCTACGTGGCTTAATTTATTCTGGAAGGTTGTTGGTTTGTTAGGAATTAAGGACAACTGTTCCATAGGAATGTTGTCTATATAGGTGCTGGATTGTAACAGAATCTCCAATCATTGGAATTACAAACAATATAAAATACTGCTTTATGGCGGACCTTGGTTCATAGGTAACTAATTTCATGGAACTTGCACACACTGCATTACGGTCTAAATTACCCAATTTCCAGTATGACTATGAAATTCTCCCCGGAATAGGAAATAAAATAGGAAAATTATTTAGGATCGTCAATTTTCGTACAATATCAGCTAGTCGAGGAAAATATGCAAGACTTTCTGTCCTGGTAATCAATATAAATCCTCTATTAACTGAAATATATATATATATATATATAGGAAAACAACATATATACAGCCTATGGTGGCTTCAATATTAAATCACAAAAGCCATATTCCGTCCTTACGATCAAACTCAAACAAAATAACCAACAAAAGAAATCAACAGGAACCACCAACACAACCCCAAAACCCAGATTGTTCATAACAGGGGAATACCTAAGACAATGAATGGACCATTGTCAAGTACAAAAACAGGAAAAGCTCTATCAAGGACAAGGAAACTAGCAATGCACTTATAAATTAGATAAACCCTGACTACAAACCAAGCTTGAAGCCTAACCAGAATTTAATTGAAAACCAACCAAATCATGTTTCCAGTGAGCTATAGAACACGATACATAGTCCACATATTATACATGATGACCCTCCCTTTAAAATAGACCTTACTAATCCAAATAGAAGTCGGGCAGTGAGTCTTTTTAAAAACATAACTTCAGCGATTTTCTTTCAAACTTTCACAAAAAATAGAAGAACTATGGCGATTTTCTCAAGAGATTTTCTTCCCAAATCATAAGTAAGCACTCACTAACTGATTTCTTTCACTTATCTAATGTTTTTCATCAACTTTTATCAATAATCTTAGGGTTTTAATGGTAGAAAATTGGGGAATTGGGTAGAGTTAGGGCTTTTTGATTATTTGGGAATTTGACCTCGTTTTGGGGTCGGATTTCAAAATAAATGATATATTCGGGCTCGTGGGTGATCGAGTTTTGGTCCGAACCTCGTGTTTTGACCAAGCGGGCCCGGGGTCAATTTTTGGGTTTTTGGGAAGAATGATTAAAAAGCTATAATTGAGCATTGGAATTGGATTGTTAGCATTTATTGATGTTATTAAGTCGATTATGTATAGATACGATTGTGTTGGAGCCAAATTTGAAAGGAAAGGCAGTATTTGAGGATTGAGTTGGCCGTGGAAGTTTGAGGTAAGTGTCCGGTCTAACCTTAGCTTGAGGGATTAGGAGTTGTGTCCTATTTGCTAATTGCTTCTTATTGAGTACGATGTATAGGCATGGTGACGAGTATCTATACGTTGGTGTCAAGCATGACCGTGAGTCTTGAATTGATAGTTATTGTGTCTTAAATGCTACTACGGATGCTTCAATTGATGATTCTCGATATTGAGCAAGGATTTAGTTTATTTTCGTGGATTCTATTTATGATTGAGTGTTAATTCTAATTGAGCTGAGTAGGAGTTGGGTTAAGATTGGTTATAGCTGATTCTCCCTTGTCGGGATGTTTGTCTTGATATTGTTGTTCCCTTGCCGGGAAGTTATTACATTGCTTTTGTTCCCTTGCCGGGAAGTTATTATATTGCTTTTGTTCCCTTGTCGGGATTCCTTGTGATTTTGTGTTGGCTTGTAAATGGGAGCGGGTGGTACGCCTACCACAAGATATGAGAAATGGGATAGGGTGGTACGCCTACCACGAGATATAATGAAATGGGATCGGGTGGTACGCCTACCACGAGATATGATGAAATGGGATCGGGTGGTACGCCTACCACGAGATATGATGAAATGGGATCAGGTGGTACGCCTACCACGAGATATGATGAAATGGGATCGGGTGGTACGCCTACCACGAGATGTAATGAAATGGGAGCGGGTGGTAAGCCTACCACAAGATATGAGAAATGGGATCGGGTTGCACGCCTGCAACGAGATGTGAACCGAGAGTGAAATTTGCCTTTGTTTTTCATTATCCTTGTTAGAAGTTAAATTTTGGTTTCTTGATAATTCTCTTGAGATTCTGTTTAATCTGTTATTCCCCGAAGCATGTTTCCCCTTCCCAGCTTTAATTGCTTGTTCTAGTTTATTTTTCCGCTGTATATATATATAACTGTACAGGTTTATCTGGAGTCTGGTCCTAGCCTCGTCACTACCTCGCCGGGGTTAGGCCAGGCACTTACCAGCACATGGGGTCGGTTGTGCTGATGCTACACTCTGCACTCTGTGCAGATACCGGAGTAGTACTAGGACAACAACAGTAGCTTGGGAGCCAGCCTTCTGTCCATAGAGATCCCGAGGTAGCCCTGCAGGCGTTCGCAGGCCCGACGTCTCTTCTATCTACTATTATGTTCTGTTATCACTTGTATCCGAGACAGACTAAGTTTCTTTCTTTCAGACATTTGTATGTAGTAATCATAGACAGTCCGTGAATGTTGTGACACCGGTTTCTAGGTTGAGACATATGTTGGCTATTCGTAACGGTTTTGGTATCATATTTATCTAAGTCTTCCGCTTAATTTCCTCTTTTGCTATTGTTTAAATGTTGATCACCTGTTATTACAAGTTATTAAAAGCATTAAGAATGAAAGAGTTAGGATTTCTGTATTTCGTGGCTTGCCTAGCTTCTTCGAGTAGGTGCCATCACGACTCCTGAGGGTGGGAAATCCGGGTCGTGACAGAGGTGGAGTCCTGGCCGCTAGAGGTGGAGGCCAGCCAGCAGGAGGTGGAGGCCAGCCAGCAGGAGGCCATCCCAGGGATATGGTTCAGCGTGGTGGGGCCCAGCCCCGATGTTATGCTTTCCCAGCCAGGCCTGAGGCTGAGTCATCCGATGTTGTTATCACAGGTACTGTTTCAGTTTGCAATAAAGATGCTTCAGTTCTATTTGATCCAGGCTCTACATACTCTTATGTGTCATCTTATTTTGCTTCATATTTGGTTGTGCCTCGTGATTCTCTGAGTGCTCCCGTGTATGTGTCCATGCCGGTGGGGGATTCTATTATTGTAGATCATATCTATCGTTCGTGTGTGGTTGTTATTGGGGGTCTTGAGACTAGCATAGATCTCCTACTTCTCGATATAGTTGATTTCGATGTTATTCTGGGGATGGATTGGCTGTCACCTTATCATGCTATATTGGACTGTCACGCCAAGACCGTGACCTTAACATTGCCGGGGTTGCCTCGATTAGAGTGGAGGGGGACTCCTGGTCATTCTACCAGCTGGGTTATCTCTTATATGAAGGCTCAGCGTATGGTCGAGAAGGGGTAGTTGGCTTATTTGGCTTATGTTCGTGATTCTAGTGCGTATGGTCGAGAAGAGGAATTTCCTGTAGACCTGCCGGGGATGCCACCCGGCAGGGATATTGACTTTTGCATTGATTTGGCTCCGGGCACTCAGCCCATTTCTATTCCGCCATACCGCATGACCCCGCTAGTGTTGAAAGAATTGAAGGTGCAGTTGCAAGATTTGCTTGATAAGGGCTTTATTAGACCTAGTGTCTCGTCCTGGGGTGCGCCGGTGTTGTTTGTAAAGAAGAAGGATGGATCGATAGGGATGTGCATAGACTATCGGCAGTTGAAAAGGCACCATCAAGAATAAGTATCCATTGCCGAGGATTGATGACTTATTTGATCAGCTTCAGGGTGCCAAGGTATTTTCAAAGATCGATTTGAAGTCTGGCTACCATCAGTTGAGGATTAGGGCATCCGATGTCCCTAAGACAGCTTTTCGGACTCGGTATGGGCATTATGAGTTTCTAGTGATGTCATTTGTGCTGACAAATGCCCCAGC